TCCTCCTCCTCTTCTCCTCCTCCTCTTCTTCTTCCTCTTCTTCTCCTCCTCTTCTCCTCCTCCACTTCTTCTTCTTCTCCTCCTTTCCAACTCCTTCTCGTCGTGCAGTATTTGGTGTGCGGCTGCCACGTCAGCACACACTTTTTTTTCTTTTTTTCTTTTTTTTTTTCTTCTTTTCGTCTTATATTTCTTCTTCTTCTTCTCCTMCGCCTCCTCMCCCTCGTCATCTTCTCCTTCTCCTCCTCCTTCTCCACGCCATATTTCCTTCTTCTTCTTTTCCTCCTCCCCTTCTCATCCTCGCCATCTTTCCTTCTTCTTCTTCTTCTCCTCCTCCTCCTCCTCGCCATCTTTCCTTCTTCTTCTTCTCCTCCTCCTCTTCTCCTCCTCCTCACCATCTTTCCTTCTTCTTCTTCTCCTCCTCCTCCTCTTGTCCTCCTCCTCTTTTCCTCCTCCTCTTCTTCTTCCTCTTCTTCTCCTCCTCTTCTCCTCCTCCTCCTCTTGTCCTCCTCCTCCTCTTCTCCTCTTCCACTTCTTCTTCTTCTCCTCCTTTCCAACTCCTCATCGTGCAGTATTCGACGCGCGGTTGCCACGTCAGCACGCGCTTTTTTTTTTTTTCCTTCTTGTCTTCTTTTCGTCTTCTTCTTCTTCTTGTGGATCACCCAGCATCCTTCTCCCTTCTTCTCCCCAAATGTCGCTCCCTTACCTATCGGATTGACTCGGATCACCTGTGCGTCCTTGTGACCGCCTTCTTGTAATCCCATCCAAAACCCTGCGCATCCCATAATGGGCCAGGTGGCTATACATATCCTCCTTAATGTTATATGATGCCGCTATCACCCCACTTTCCGTGAATCCCCGCTGCACCTGTCTATTTGCAGAGTCCAGTCTCCCAGACTACCTTTTTCCCCCGAATACAACGTACATGCATTGTATTGGAGATGCTCTTCGTACAATTAATCACCCTTTTCTCATCGCATTAGTACAGGATCGAATATTTATCTGTCAGCTTATTAACTAACGCTCGCTCTTCTGGCTCTATCCATATCGCTCATTTTGTACATTGTTTGATGATTTTTTCCTTCTTGGATTGCTCTTGCCATCCCAGACTCTGGTGTCAAGCGGATGAAGATTCGTGGTGGCCGCTGGAATCCTGCAGTGTTGGCAGCATCGAAAGTGGTTGTTGTTTCACTACGGGCGTAGAGTAGAGGAAACAGATGGAAACAGTAGGTTTAGAGGACGAATGATCGACGAGGTGTCTCGTTTATGTGCCACAAGATTAACTGGATTTGTGGTTTCATCATGTCCACGTTCCGCATGTATTCTTATCACCCTTTGGACATGGGCGCATTCTCATCTCCTCGCAGTTTGTTCGCCTTCCCAAACGGGGGGGGCGGGAAGAGGGGGCGATAAATTTTGATAGCCCAATGAAAGCAAGCGGGGTGGTTGGCTGGTGAAACCTGTTCGCTTCTCAATAAGTGAAAGTTTAGGATCAATGTGTATGTTGTTCGGATTCTTCACTATCTGTAAATAGCTTTGCAGATCTCTGGAATGTGCTATTTGTTGTTGGCACCTCTGGATGATTGTTGAGTTCATTCCCTTTCAACCACTGGCTTGTGGTTGAGTTTTGTGTTTTCTGCGAGCAGTTGTGCTCGTTGTGCAACTGATAGTCTCCTGAAGAAGCTACGACTTTTCTTCTCTAGCTTGCGTTTTTGCTGGGGTTTACATCTCTCTCCTTTCCTCTACCTCCCCGACCTTCTTTCTCTCTTTTTCTTTCCTCTATCTCTCTCTCACCCTTCTTCCTGCCATTTTTTCCCTTTCCCTGCACTTTCACTCCCACGTTACCACCCTTCTCCGCCATTCTGCCGCCTCCACTCTCCCTCTTTCTGTTGCCACGTCCATCCACTCCATGGTTGCTTGGTTGTGGATGTCTGATTGTTTGTGTGTGCCTGTGATCAACCATGATGTACCAATTTACTGTGGGGAATGTTTGTTTCTCTAACCTAGCGTATTTCATGCCATGCTTCGCCATGCTGCCAGTTCTTTTAGCAGATCCCCGGTCTTCCACATTGTCTGAGTCAGGGCATACTCACACTAGGACTTTGTCTGGTTTTTCGAAGGTGAGGCTCCCCCCACCAATAGATTGGCGCAACCCTTGCTTGGTCTGCTAGAGGGGGGTGCTCTTACCACCCCCCCTTAACAGCCTCCATTTTTATTTTATTTTTTCTTTCCTCAATAAGATACAGTCCAACAGTGTACTTTGCTATCTAAAAACAGAGGAGGACTTTGGACCTCTAAAGGGCTGTATTCAATATTGTTATTAACACCTCCTGCTCGGGTTGATCTTCTGAAGGAGTTCACATGGGCTACAGTGGATTGGTGGCTGATGAGTACAGAGCTGTGTCTGAGTAAGACTTTCGCAAATTGAGAAAAAACACAGTCTGGACTCCTTAGACCACCAGTGCATGGGGGCCTGACCCTTATCAATCAATGAATCAATCAATCGATCGACGCCGATTGATTGATTGATTGATTGGTCGGGAGGAGGGGGTTCACATGGCAGGGACTGACACCAGTTGTGTGTTTTGCAATGTGTGCATGACATTTGGCAGTGTAGAATCAGGCTCCTGAAGTTTTTAACGGTGATGGTGAAGAACTTCATGAAGTTGACAGCTTAGTGGAAACTATTGGGTCTGTTGATGCTTTGGATATTCCGAGCCGTGTCCATTGAGTCACGGACTCACCATCCGCAGGTAATTCCGTTCCTGTGCAAGTTTTTACAGGTGAGTGGTGTGGGAATTGACTACGGCCTGTTGTTGGCCTGCTTGGATGCTGATGCAGTGGGCGTTGTGACTCGCAGCAAAAAGCCCGCACTCGCTGAGTCAGTTCTCAACTTCCCATTCACTGCGAATCCGACGCACCGCGATGATGGAGTCGTCCTCGCATGAGGGGTTCAACTCATCTGATAATTCCGACATGTCGGACCCCAAACGGAAAGTTGCGTTAAAATCGCAGGACAAAAGCACCGGGACAGCAGGCTCATCTGCCAAGACCAGTGATATGAAAAATTTGAAACTGGCAATTCACACAGCACTCAAAAAAGGAGAACTCAACCCTCCATATATTCTGAAAGACGAGCTGGAGAACATTTTCGACGTTTGGAAGTCGTTCGCCCGTGTTTGTTTTCCTAATGGTGCCCCTGTGCGGGAACACTGCAGCGGATACGTAGCTTGTAGACAATGTCTCAGAGTGTATGCGTTCACTCCCTCGCACGGGACAAGTATCCTGCGACAACATACTTGTCGCAAGGAACCGGAGACGGCAGACCTCATGCGCCTGCTTGCTACCTCTGCCGAGCTTACAGCAACTCAAAAGAACAGGATGGCCAAAAAGGTTGTCATGTGGTGCTGCAAAGATTTGCGGCCGTTCACCGTGGCAGAGGACCAGGGTTTATTAGAGGTTCTGCAGGAGGCGTACGATATGGGCGTAGCAGTGGGTAAGTCCATGCACATGGAAAGGTGATGCCTGTCCGCAACACGGTGAAACGTCATGTTGTTGAAACAGCATCCACTATCCGTGAGAAGGTGAGAGAACTGGTGCAGGACCATTTCAATGATGGTGCGTACACAGGCTTCACAGCGGACATGTAGACAGACAGAGTGAAAAAAAATTCGTTTATGTTTGTCACAATGCACTACATCGACCGCAACTTCATATTGCATGTTCGCAATTTGCAGGTCAAAGCTTTCCAAGAGGAATCGCATACAGGGCCGACTGTTCTCAAGGTGTTTGAAGATGCCCTTCATGAGTTTGGATGCAAAAAATCTGATAGGTGTGTTGTGTGTACAGACAGCGGCTCAAACATGGCCGCAATAGAAGGGATCCGAAAAATTTACAAGTGGATTGTCTGCGCAGACCATAAAATTGCGACGGTACTGACAACCGTCTTCAACAAAACTTCAACCACAACAGGCGGAGTTCGCTCGTCGCCGTTCTACAGATATCACGAGTTTGCACCGCACTTGTTTGAAATGATCGACAACTCGAAAACGTTGGTTCGATTCTTCAAACAAGGAAACTTGCAGAACAGTCTGAGCAAGACGTTGAGGCAAGAAAACGTGACGCAGTGGAACTCCTTACTGATTTTGCTGAACAGTATTTTGGACAGTTATGATGAGGTTATAACTATGCTCTCTAGGCTTGCCAACACTAATCAGCAAGCCAACAAACAGTTCCTCGTTACAAGGATCGACAAGACCTCGCTCGTAGATTTGGTGTGGTTCTTGAGACGATTTCAGACTGCCACACTGAAGTTGGAACAGTACTTGGAGCCGACAATACACCTTGTGGCATTTGAGCGGAGTGTCCTTTTGGAGTATTGCGAACCTCGTAACGAACCATACAACGGCGAGGATGCCGAGGGCAACAACTTCACCATTTCATCCGACTCCGACGACATTGCAGTCATCAAGATGTTGATGAAGGATGTGCTGCGAGAGAAGTGGATATTGGAGGATCTTCACATTGCCGCAACTTTGCTTGATCCGTGGCAAAAGGAAAGGTTGGACCGTTTCGGTTTGTCGGAAGCCGAGGTTGAGCAAGGAAAAAACTGTTTGCAAGAGTTCATGTATAATGTCAAGGACTCGAGCGTTGAGCCAAGCGAAGAACATGTTGCAGCGGAGGGAAAGCGGCCAACAAAGAGGAGGAAGAAAGCACCCGAGAAAGAGATCCCTGACGAGTTGACATTGTGCAGTACGGACGAAGACGAGGAGAAGGACCTGCCCATCGCTCGAACCGGGCCGTTGACGTTGCCACAGCGTATAAAAAAGGAGTTGAGTTGACATTGTGCAGTACGGACGAAGACGAGGAGGAGGACCTGCCCATCGCTCGAACCAGGCCGTTGACGTTGCCGCAAAGTATAAAAACGGAGCTAGAATTCTTCTTCAGCTTGAAGTTGACAAAAGAAGAGAAATACAAGATCGACATACTTGTGTGGTGGAAGGCGAAGGGGACTCGTAAAAAATGAAGAGAACCAGTTGTTGATCCCGCCTTTACCGATCATGGCGCGTGCTGCTCATGCGATTCTGTGTGTTCCGGCATCGAGTTCGAAGAGCGAATGCAATTTCTCCGATGCAGGGAACACCGTCACGAAGAAAAAAAATCAACTTAATCTGTCCATTGTCGATGATGTATTTTGTGTTCGCTCGAACTACGACGTGCTGTCGTGATGTGTGTTGTAGTTTTGCATTGTTTGCAGGCTTCCGTTCGCCTGACATCACTGGAATAGCTTTTGCAGGTGGCTATCTTCCGGACACTTGATGTGGGAGTTGTAGTTCTGCAGATTTACAAATTCGGTAAAAAATGACATTTTTCTCTAATTTTTATTTTCTCCATTTTGTAAAAGACAAAATTTATTTCTTGCTTTCGATTTTTCCTCTTGTGCAATGGTGGATTTTATATTTTTTCTGTTAATCTTTTTTCTATTTTTCATATTTGTCTAAGTGTTGGTCGGAGTGTTGGTCTGAGTGTCGGTCTGAGTGCTGGTTTGTGTGTTGGTTTGAGTGTTGGTAGTGTTGGTCTGAGTGTCGGTCCGAGTGTTGGTCTAAGTGCTGGTCCGAGTGCTATTCCAAGTGCTGATCGGAGTGCAGGTCTGAGTGCTGGTAGTGTTGGTCTGAGTGTTGTCTGAGTGTTGTCTGAGTGTTGGCGTGAGTGCTGGTCTGAGTGCTTGTCCACGTGCAAGTGTGGGTGATGATCTGAGTGCTGGTCTGGATGGTGGGAAAAGCCATCGGGCGGAACAAAAATTCGTTGAGCCTGGGCCCGGTCGACCAACAAAAATGGGGGTGTACCGCGTTATGTGCAAGGATCCCATAAAAATATATATATCATTTGGAAAAGAAAAAAAAAAAACTGCAAATGTAAGGACCTGCCCAAACACGGACAAGAACACGTAGCTGATCTGTGAACTTTGCTGATGGAATGGATGCTTTGCTGAGAATCCCGAATGTTTTCTGAGTTTTCAGAGGTGATTGGGGACAGTTACGGGCGGTTAAGGGAGGTTGGGGACAGTTAGGGGCAGTTAGGGGAGGTGAGGGACAGTTAGGAGCGGTTAGGGATGGTTGGGGACAGTTAGGGGCGGTTAAAGATGGTTGGGGACAGTTAGGGATGGAAAGGGATGGTTGGGGACAATTAGGGTTGGGTGGGGAAGTGCGGTCTATAGATTGATGTGAAGTATTGTTAAAATGACTGTCTGGTTTTCTTATAAATGGGCCTGAAAAATGGGTGCTCGGTTAACCTGCTCTCGGTTGGAGACAGTTAGGGGCAGTTAGGGGAGGGCGGGTCACAAGTGCGGATGGTTACAGGTGGGTGCATACAATTGTGGGTTGGTACAGGCGGGTAGGGTTGAAAAACAAATTGGTTGGGTAGGGTACAGGTGGTTAACACAAGGTTTGGGTACGGGTGGTCATGGGTACTTTTCAAAAAGAAAGTTCATGGACAGTTATGGGCAGTTACAGTGTGAAGGGGATCAGGTAGGGCAGGCATAGGTACACTTTTTTTTTTTTTGTGGGTAAGGGTGGGTAAAGGTCCTATATGCCATGTATACAGCGGGTATGGGTGGTTGGTTTTCTAAAAGGGTATGGGTAGGTAAGATAAAGGTATTCCAAAAAAAACAAGTTGCCACCTCTGGTGCGGACTTAGATGGGAGGGGAAATAGACTTACAAATATGCTCGTCCAACAATCCAAGTTCACTCAGTCTTTACAGAGGGGGAACACATAAAAAAAAATAAGGCAATCTCACACACGGGCCGGTCATCTCCTCGCCCGCCTTTCCCCAATATGGTCTCTCCGCTGATACTATCGGTAGAGTTTTATCCCATACCTCAAGCGCAGCTCAACCGTCGCGAGCGCGGTACCCAGGTTTCGGCAAGGCGTTGACCCTTTCCTTATGCCAAGAATACCCCATCCCGTCTTGCCGCTCTTGCACATCCATACCGACACCGAGGGTTACCCCGTGTGCCTAAATATAGGAGCAAAAGTCAGCCGTCTGGGCATTCACTTCCATTGGTCCGACAAGAATCAGCCTTTCCTAAACCATGCTACGAGAAGCTACTAATTGTCTCCGAGGTTCCGTCCTTGTCCGCATGCAGTGGTACTCCCCCCGCCAACCAACAGGCTAAGCCCCGCCTGAGGAGACGTTTCGCACCCCGCCCCGCAGATCATCGAGCCAAGCTCGTCACCGCTCGAACGGGAATACTACTAATCAACCGGCGAGACAAACTCCCGTTCGAAAGCTAGGTGGTCTGACCCCCACACACGAACACACGGCAACCTCAAAAGAGAGCGACGTTTCGCAACCCACACTGGTCGGTGCAGACCCATCCTTTCCTTCCGAAAGGCGGGACGCTCAAATCCCATCATGCAAACACAAGTCCCAAGTGGGACACATAGAGTACAATTGTCTTTCCCTTGGTGCTCCCAGCGCTTCCTACCCATAACTCACATTTTCTATCAGGACAAATGAGTGTCACTCCCCCCCTATTTTCATACACAGTGGTTGGTTCCTTCTCGTGAGAATCTTCAAAGGTGAGCTGGTTTTCCTTCGGGTCTAGCAACTCCCTTCATTCCCTTTCTCTTCACTTGTCTGTCCTTTCATAGGACGGGATTGTTCCTTCTTGATGACCCGTTGTGTTCATATTGGTTCCTTCAAGCGCTTAAAAAAAAAGGTGCAAAGTGCATGAGCCCACTGGGCTCAAAGAAGAAGATAGAAGGCCACCCGTTCGGTCGGATCACTCCGCCGCATGATTTTCATTAGAACCCGGCCAAAGCCGGAGCACCAACCGCCTGCCAGGTAACCGGATCCCTTCTTTCATACAAAGAGGAACGGTCGACCTGCGACTTGCCCAAGGCTTCCCCGGACTGGCGAACACCAGCACCCGACAAAGGAGAGCTAGAGTCATTCCACAAGGAAACGGCTGATCAAGTGCATAGCATGCATGTTATACCTCCAGGCCTGGCCATGCCTTGCACCCAGCCACTCTCAAATCTGATTTTCACAAGGGAAAGAGCAAGCACAAGTTCATTTCTTTATCTTGGATTGTGTACACGTCAATGCGTCGGACGACCCCATGGGAATCGCAAGGGTCAATTTAACCCTTGCCCGTCACCTCCACTATTTTTGTAGAGCCAAACCCCGGTAGACTTTTGAGCCTTAGTCGACCCCACTGCAGGTCCCAGTTGGCTCGGCCCCCCACGCTCATGCTCAGGGCGCGGGTCATTCGTCCCAGGGTCACCCCCACCTAATGCTTTGAAATGGACGGGGGTGTGTCATCGCACGAGAGAGCTTTGACATTGGGGATGTAGCTCAGCCCTCACGCCGGGTGGTAGTCTCGCTGGTCATTCCGCAACGTTGATTTTTTTTTTTTTCTTGGTTATGTTCTCAGACAATTGCTTTTTCCAATACGCAGGCAGTCCAAGGGTTCTTTGAGAGTCTCTTTTCTCTTGTGCGCAAGCTAAGCGTCATCCTTAGGCCGCGCACCATTTTCCTAAGAAGTGTGTTCCTATGGCGTCATCGGGGTGCAACAATCCCGCCCTTCCCCTCGCCTCTACTCACCCATCGGGTCTCATACATCTTACTCAACTTTATTGACGCAGGTCCCTTAGTCTTTTCGGAGCCTTTACATGCATGCACGCACAACTTCACATTTCCCTTGGCAAGATAACACTTCATTTTCTCATTTACATTCCAAGTCTCAAACGCAAAGGTCATTTTCATGGGTTGGTTTTATGCTAAGGGTCCCATAGCCCCTTAGCCCCTCTTCTCTTTTCTTTTTTTATGCCGGTTTCTCCCAGCCCTATCCCGCTCAAGGCATCCTTAGCCTTCACTTACCTGCACAATCCCACACAAAGCAAAGATCCATACAATCCCCCGTTGGGGGTCAACACATAGCATTTCCCACATATCTATCTTTCCATGCTCTTTGGTTGCTCTTTGTTTCCCTTCTTTGCTCATTCAGTCCATCCTCTTCTCATAGTCATGCAGTCGGGGAAATGGTTGAGTCAAAATGACCTTGCTTCCACTTATACTCTCTCTCGGATTCCGCCTCTTTTTCCCATTTTCTCAACCGTCCTTTCTCTTGCCTTCTTGGTGGCACAAGGGACCGACTACCCTCCCCTTGCCCTCTTTCTCCACCAAGTGAGGTGTGATCTCTTTTTATCGTTCGCACCCTCGCAATGTACCAAGCGAGGGGAGAAAGGTTAGTCATATGTCAAGTGAGGGGAAGAGAGAGGGAAAGAAAGGGCAAAGCGAAGAGGGAAGGAAAGAGAGGAGTTGGAGAGGGAGATAGAGAGAGAGAGAGAGAGAGAGAGAGAGAGAGAGAGAGAGAGAGAGAGAAGGGGGGAGAGACAAGAAGAAACTTTTAATCCTAATCAAATCAGCTCCCCGTAGTAGCAACCAAATGTCGGTCACCCATCCTATAGTGAAAGATCGAATAAGCACGAATTGGAACACTTCAACATACATGAATTTGACAATGAAAAACTAGAACTAGTGAAAAACACATACACATAGAGGAAAGATCAACTAAGTATGACTCGAAACATCACAACATACATGAACTTGACAATGAAAAGCTAGAACTAGTAAAAAACACATACACATAGAGGAGAGATCAACTAAGTATGAACTGGAACATCACAACACACATGAACTTTACAAAGAGAAGCTAGAACTATTGAAAGGCACACGCACTTAGAGGAGAGATCAACTAAGTGGGAACCGGAACATCACAACATACATGAACTTGATAATGAGACACTTGAACTAGTGGAGGACACATGCACATGGGGGAAAGATCAACCAAGTAGGAACCGGAACATTACAACATACATGAACTTGACAATGAGAAGCTCGAACTAGTGAAAGACACATACACATGGAGGAAA